AAAAAAAATTCCGTAAACACAGCATCATCTCAAGAAATATCTGCGTACACACGAAACCACTGAAACCGACTCAAAACGATGTAGTATACATGCCAGACCAGTATGCGTCGCTGTAATTCTGCCACTGAGATACACTAAAAATGGAGAAGACGACTTGGAGCATGCGCATAAACCTTGCACGCTGTATACAAATATTTTTGCTTTAGTAACTTTTGATTTTGCTTTAGTAAAGCTAATAGGCTCAGTAGCTTCTGCAGCACAAACACAAGCTTGTAGTCCGCCGTTGTTGTTGTTGCGTGACGTAGCGGTGTCTGACTAGGGTTGAGATGTGGGGTGATGACATCATCGTTTCACAAAATATACAGATTGGCTGTACACACGAAAACACAAGGGTGTTGTTTTCAGATTTATCCACTCTGGGACCCGATTTCTAAAAATAGTGGATTCAGGCTCCAAAAACACCGGATCCGTCTGGACGAAATGCCGATACGACAGAAAATGTTTACATATACAGCTAAACGCGCATCTCCTGAGGAGGAGGAGTGGGTGGGAGAAACAATATTTTGAATTTGGACTGCAGTACCCATTTCAACCGCTAGCTGTCAATATTACATACTGCACCTTTAAAGCCATATCAGTTTAAACTTCTGATATACTGTTGTTTTGAACGCTTACATCAAGCATGTCTCGTGAGCACTAAACTAAGTTCTCTTTCGCAGCTTATTGCACTTAAACTGTCAAATACACAAAAGGTTATGACAAAAACACAGCAAGTTTACATAAACACGGTTGGTTATGTATGTGAAGGTAAACAGCTGGGAAAGAAATCGCATATAAATATTTGATCTATGTATTAAAAGTGACAGCAGTGTAATATGTGTGTACTGCTGTCTATGCTGTTAATATGAATCAGAAAATCACTCACTGCTCTTGACTGAAGACCTGTAGTAGTAGCTTTATAAGAATACATTTCTTACTTGAATGCTGATTTTAAATGCTGTAGCGAGGAGATAAACATGGCTGAGTACAGCTCACTCAGGGGAGGAGCTAAGCTAATAAGTAGATATAGTTACCAGTCGTCCTGTGTGACGTCACATTGGAGTACATTCCTGAACGCTTATTTTGAGACTTCCGATTTAAGGGGAAAATATTTTTAACACATAATAGAGTGGATGTGTACACTGTGGAAACATAATTATGTTCAAAAACAATATAAAAGTGAATTTTGCATAATAGATCTCCAACATGCTATACCAAAAACATTTAAAATAATTTTTATGTTCAATGAAACACAAATGGCAGCAGATTTTTAATTATTTTTTTTTTTTATATCAATCTATAGAGAGACATGAAGAGAAACATTTGAAATACAATGAGACCATTATGCCACAATAAAGTGTATGCAGTGAGAGTTCAGACAATGAAATCAATGTTGGTAAAAATCACAAAACACGGCACGAAAAAAGTTTTGTGTTTGCAAAATATAGTGCAATAACAATGTAATTTAATAAAACTACTCAAAATATTCTATATTAAAGCCTTAAACTGTAAAAAATAAATTCAAAAAGTAAAAAAATACTAACAGAATGAATAATACCAACAGCACAGAAACACTTTGGCAGAATATATTATCTTACCATCAGAATACAATGATAATATATTCCAAATAAATTAATTCATAGGCAATACTGTTATCTAAAATCTTATATACATTTTTACAAAGGTGTATCAAAAGTATTTGTATAAAAACATATTTACACTTCGCATTCCATAATCACATTGCACACAGATTTAAATTTCACACCAGAAATACATGCATTCTGAACGCATATATTAACATCCACACACACACACACACACACACACACACACACACACACAGGATATTTAATGCTCCTCTCTTATGAGGGGGTCTTCATTTGAAATCCTAGAGCGATGCTCTTTATTATTAATGAGGTAACATCTGATCGCAGAATCTGTGAATGAAAAGCTGGTCTTCCTGACCACCCTAATGAGAAAAAAAAAGTCATTTTGTCTGACAATTTATTCAAAGAATATGACACACAAGACACCCTCATAATATAAAGTATAAGGGAAAAAAGCTTCAGCGAGTAAATCTCACGAAACATGTTCAGGTCCTTATTTGCCAAAAATCAAAAGAAAGAAATAAAAAAATATATGTTGCATAAATAAAACAAAGTGCACTTTTAGGACCAATAAGATTTGTAAAATTTGTAAAAAAAAAAAAAAGCAAATATGTTGAATATTACATTTCATATATTTGTTGTTTGTTATTTGTTTTTGTAACTATCTATCTATCTATCTATCTATCTATCTATGTGTATATATATAATAATACTAGTAGGATAATTTAATAATATTAAATAAATATTTATTGAGCAGCAAATCAGCATATTTGAATGATTTCTAAAGCATCATGTGACTCTGAAGACTGGAGTAATGATGCTGAAAATTCAAATTTGCATCACCGGAATAAATTACATTTTTATAAAATATTAAAATAGAAAACAGTTATTTTAAATTGTAATGTTATTTCACAATATTACATTTTTTACTGTATTTTTTGACCGAATAAATGCAGCCTTGGTGAACATAAGAAACCTCTTTCAACAGTAGTGTGTAAATACAGTACATATTTCCCCATTTCAAAAGGCTTTTCTTTGTGCAAAATATTTTTTCTTTCTTTTCATTCTGGGGTGAAATGTGACTGGCATGTTTGGTGACCTGGACAACAATACTACTATCCCAACATTTGCTGACAAAGCAGCCCTCTAAAACAATCTGTCTCTTACCAAAGCCCCTCTTTATGCATCACATCTTATGTTAATCTACATGATGTATTTGCACGCAGGATGCATTTTATGTTTTCATCCTTTTTTCTCGACAGTGAATGCATTGTACACATAATGTCCTATTTCAATTATCATTGCTAAACTGAAATCCCTCAATGCTGACACTCTCTATTCCATCTCCCTGAGACAAAACGAAACATTCCCACAGCGCATGACAGAAGAATGCAGAGGTACCCCGTTTTAAAAACAACCGCACGAACAAATGTCCAGCATTTGGAATGTATGGCCTTTGAGAGTGTCTTTAAAGGTCGATAAGTCTATTACAATGAGGCATGAGCCCTAAATCTGTCTGCACATATGACAGTCCAAAATACTTTTTTCCAATGTTAACGTGATTCTAATGTTTATGATATCAGTTTATGTTCTCCCTGTTTCTCTGCTCAGAAGACAAACAACAACAGGAAAGTGAATGTACTGTAAGTAGGTGGCACAGCAAACCCGTTCAGCATGCAACAACTCCAATAACAGAAACAGATGTGTGAAACTGTGACATTTCATAAATTACCACTGGTTTACGCCTAGCGAAACACAGCTCGGTGTGAACCACAAGAGACCCCGTGGTGCAACGTTCTCGCGATGACCCTCATAACATCTATTCCAACTTGGTGTGATTACGCTAGGGTTTGCTTCACTAACAGGATACTCTGCCAATTTCAGTGTCTTGCCAAGTTGTAGCTGCAGTGCGGTGGAGCCCCACAAAGACCCGTCCGCAGCCTCACCAGACAGTCGTGTCATTTCAAGGACAATGGCTTTTCATTTGCATGCGAGTGATGAATATAGAATGTCTCTCTATGGAGTAAACACACCTATAAAAATGGGATAATATTGATGAAACGGACAAAACATATAAAATTTGTGAATATTGTACTGATATCTTTCTTTGTTGGGTGGGTTCTAAGTTGAAACCCAAAATGTGTTTCCTCAAAGTGAATAATGAACATCCTAGTGTTAAGTACTGTGAAATTCAACATGAAACAACATTTTCAGCCCATTTTACTCTTATAATGGCATATGCAATTTGAATATTTAATGAGGGAAAAGGGTGGGACTTGATTTTATGCATTGGGAATTTAATGGATCATGAAGAGCGGTCTCCATATTAAAGTTGTTAGTGCCATCAGCCAAAAACAAATGTTTCAGAATCAGAGCAAGTTTTTGAAGACAAAGGTTTTTTTCTTTGGAATCATATGCACAGATGAATCGCGTACAGTATGACCAAACAAGTGAATAAGTCCATTTTGATTTCATGTTAACACCACTTGTGTTATTATGTTTGTAATGAGGCAACTGGTCAAAAATTATTAAAATAAAACAGTTATACTGTATAATATGTGATACAGGTAAACAGTTTTAGAAATGTGGCTAATTTTTTTTAAACTACTTGAACTGTTTATACATTTTATCATTATTAAACAATAAAAATAAATAAATAAATAAAAAGTCATGACACCAAGCAGTTAAAATAGCTTGTTTGCCCTTGAGCCATCAAAGATCTACATTCGGAAGTGTTACTTTGTAATTGTGTCTAATTTGTTTTGTTAAGCCTATTAAAAGGTACTTTATGATGTAATATATTTAATTGAAATGGTAATAAATTTATTTCTGTCATGACAACTCTCGGAGGGATTGGCATGGTAATGTACATGACAAAGTTAATGTATTTGGTCTTGGCGGAATAGATCTGCTACGCTGCTACGGCAGAGCAAGTACCGAGAATTGCTACTGCCATTACATCCACAACATGCTGCTGTGAGCATGTAAGGAATACTGCTGCTGCACATATAACATACATGAAATAACCCCCATCTAGCATACATGAATCACCTCATAGCAGATCTATACAGGTGGAGCTGGGGAAGGTGGAGGATTTCTGAAGTGCGCAGCAAACTGCTACAGCAAACAAAAGCAGGTATTTGAATATTGAGCAGTAAGCTCATTGGCTACCGATACAGGAGAGAACCAATCAGCTGCCATGTGAAAATGATGTCGCCAGGTCAGATTGAGCTAGACCTATCGGACTGCACCATCTAGAGTTTCATGGCAGAACTCTGTATTAATTCTAATTAATTGGTTAACTAGGTAATTTTGAAAACATGCCTGATAATTAAATGAAACAAAGCCATGTTAGTAATAAGGATCAAAATGTTTCTTTTCTCTCTGCAGCTTTAGCTAAAGTGCTGGACATTTCTAGTCTAGTAGACTAGTTTCAATATTTAAGTAGTACCAATTTAATACCAGTTACAGTGCTAGATTTGTCTGTGATTATAAGATAAATATAAATAATGCAGGTTTGAAAAGGCTTGCCCTGGTGGTTCCAACCAGCAATAAAATGATGCTTAAAATGGATCAAATGAATATGGGTCTGAAATATCTAAACCTTTTGTTTAGTAATCAATCCAACATTTGCACTGCAGCAGACTTCAAAACCTGGGCATGTTAAGAATGATTCAGCTCACTAAATGCCATTCAGTTCCTGAAAGCTTGGCAGCCACGTGTCAGTCCTGCTCCCTGCGGTCACAGTATTTCCAGAGTCGTCCTCCCTTTCACTTAGTACTAGAGATGGTGGGATGCTCTGTGTACCAGTGTGTGGCAGGGTCTGGTAAACCGGTCCCCAGAGGCAGAGCGATGAATGGCGGGCACGTCCCTGTGCCGACTGGCGTCATGCTCACCATGGGCCCAGGGTAAGGGTGGTGATGGCCAGCGAGTCTGTCAGTCCGTCCGATGTGAATCTCATCCTCCTCCGTCTCTCCTGTGGTTTTGCGGTAGACGGGGTTGTCGAAGTTCATGCTTTTAGTGCTGTTCCTCCTCCAGTTGCGGTAAACGAGGTAAACGCCGGCACACACCACTCCAAAGACCACTGTGGCAACAATAGGAACTGCATGTGTTTAACATACAGCAGTGAGGGGACATGTTAACACACGCTTGACTGGAGGTGGAATGACTGACAAGACAGCCAGTGTGACAAACAAACAAAAACAGATGGACAGACGGACAGGCGGACAGGCAGACAGGCAGACAGGCGGACAGGCGGACAGGCGGACAGGCGGACCGACAGACCGACAGGCAGGCAGGCAGGCAGGCAGGCAGGCAGACAGACAGACAGACAGACAGACAAACAGATAGATAGATAGATAGATAGATGTAAACAAGTGTAGAATTAAAAGAATAGTTCACACAAATATAGCAACTCTGTCATTTACTCACCTTTATGTTGTTCTAATCTCTTCCGTGGAATACAAAGGGAGAAGCTTAGTGTAATGTTCATGCTACTCTGTTCCTCAGAAAAAACTCTTACATAACTTCAAAAGATTTGAAGTACAGTATAGTGCATGAGCCGGATCACTTTTATGGTGCTTTTTGTTATTTTTAAGCTCTAGTAGACCAGGTGTGAAAAAGAGCAGGATGGACATTCTACCTAACATCTCCTTTTGTGTTCCAGAGAAGTCAGTCAGTCATACCGATACGAAACAACATGAGGGCAAGTATTGTAAATGATGACAGAATTGTTATTATTGGTGAACTGTTCCTTTAAATTGGCTGGATTGAAACTAATGATAGTAAAAGAGAACATGAATAGCAGATGAAAACTGAAACAGAGCAAAAAGGGTTGATAGGGAATGAAGAATAAGGAAGAAGGGCAAAAACTCCATAAAACTGATCAGAGAAAATTCTTATATGGCTCTCAGAAATCTTTGTATGCTGCTAAAAACCTAACCTAATAAAAATCAAATAAATCATAACATCTGCTCTCTTTGCAATGCAGCAGGCTTGATGTTAGTCAGTTTTGTTGTAATATTACCAAGGGAGTTTCTTTCTTGGCTCACAAACACAATAAAGTAGAATTAATCTAAAGTCATTCAGACAGCACACACACAAACTACATCTCCATTCAGCTGAGTCTGCTGCCCTGGGCTCTCTCACCTTGTAGTTAGAGCATTGGTGAGCAACACTGGTGTCAAAATGTGCTCAAAATAGCACAGAGCAGGACCTTAGCGGCCCCAGAGAGGCAGATGATGTACATACCTATGGGAATTACAACTCCAAGCACTGCCACTGTCAGATTACGGCCAAGGAGAAACAACTCATTGCCAGCTGGAGGAAAATAAAAGAGAGGAGCATCACTTACACCTTCAGATACACTTTTGTTTAACATGTTTAGTCAAACAAGTTGATGTGGCTGATTGACCCTTCTCTATGCTGCCCAAAACAAAGTGACCAACTGCAGCTTGGTGACTATTACTAGCATTAGATTGTGCAAGCTTTCAGGCTTTCTCAGTATGACCAAATGGATGAAAAGTTTGGAGGGAGGAGTATACAGTAGGATAGAGTAGTTTAGTCCACATTATCATCTAATGCAGAGGTGTCAAACTCAATTCCTGGAGGCGCGGGGCCCTGCAGAGTTTTGTTCCAAACCTGCTCCAACACACATACCATGTAGTTTTCAAATAAGCCTGAAGGACGTGATTAGTTGGATCAGGTGTGTTTAATTAGGGTTGAATCTAAACTCTGCAGGGCTCCGGCCCTCCAGTATTTGAGTTTGACACCCCTGATCTAAAGGAACATTACAGTATGTAAAAACTGTTAAAACATTTTTACCAATTTTTAAATGAACATTTTGAAATCCTGGTGAACTTCTGGAGCCAAGCCACATGAATTACCTGCATGAGTTGTTTATAGGTTTATCTTTATCTTAATGCATTTCTGATAGACAGCATTGTTGATATCACAAATCATTACCATATCAGTTATCGGTCGATTTTGAATATTTAATTGTGCAGCTCATTTACCCTATTTTACATCACCTCTGGTATTATCCAGTGTTATTTCAGTATAATAAATATACTATTATAATTTTTATTAAAATTGTAAATTATTTAAAAAATATATTTTCTCTCTTTAATTTTAGTGAACATTTTAGTAATTATGTTGTTTGATTTTGACATTTTTATTAGTTTTGTAAATATGTCTACATAGTTTTTTTTTATTTATTAATTTTTTATTTCAGTTTTTAGTACAAGTTGAACTAAATGAAAATGAGAAATGTTGTCTTGAGAAATAGCTGAAATAAAATAATTTTAAGTTTATGGGTTTAGTTAACTATAATAACCCTTCTATAATCTAAAACTCAAAGGTAATCTTTCAAAAAACAATTTAATAATACTGTTAAATGCAGAGGCGTATCAATAGGGCAGGCAAGCAGGCAATTGAGGGGGCCTCCGACAGCTGACCATCTGAACAATCAAAAATGTCATTATTAATATAACGGAGCAATACATCTGCACCCCCCCCCCTCTCGCGTTATGCTAGATCTGCTTGCTTTTTCCTCGTGATGCATCGGCCGCCGTTTTCAAACTGGCACAGCTACTCGTGCATTTGCTAATTTAAACATAAAGAGGACTTATCCGTCTGGCAGCCAGAAGCGGAAAAAAGCAAGAAGAGGAAGAATAGAGGAAACATGACAGCAGTAAATGGAGATAAGACTGACTTAAGGATAATTATATGACAAACAAATGTTTTTGTTGTTAATTCCAGCTTATTTTCATTTAATTATTTGCAAGATGAATTACTGGTAATAGTCCAATTACTAATAGGGTTACTGGGAAACAGATTAGCTAGGGTTACACTTAGCAGCAGCATATTATAGGTGGTACTGGGAAAGATGCGCACATCACCAGCGACACCGCTTGGCAAGTTTCGGTACTAGGGATGCAAACTTGTCACCTTTTGATGAAATTTTTGAATTCGTTTTGAATTCAAAATGGGTCATTTGTGTGATTCGTGTAGATCCGCTTAGTTTTTAGAATTGTACCAACTCAATTCTATACCCGCTCGAAGTCACCCGCTTTCAAACGATCATGTATGTTTTTGTGTGCGTGCTCTGGTTTCGAATTACGAAACCAAAAGTTTCTATTTACAACGTGTTTTGCAGCGTTGAGCATTGTAGCCAATCACAGGCATCTCTGTTGAAAGCAGTGGCCAATCAGAGGCGTTTACTGTAGGTTAGTCATAATCCACTATGATCTAATTTTTGTTTTCGCAAGTTTATGCAGTTCTACACGCTCACAGATCTTCCTATTATAACAAGACAAAAAGAAAGCATATACAATGTAAATAAGATATTCATTGTGTGGTTAGTTATTGATTATATCAGGAGTTTTCGCGTGAGTAAGCTTGGACAATTGCGCCATAATGGAAGCGCCCTTTGCTCGGTGTCTCTTACATACTACATTCACAGTTTGAAGAAAAGTTTAAGAGGACCGTCCACGTATACTGTTTCAGGAATGACAATCGCGAGTGTAAAAAATTACGTGAGTGAATCCGCCAGATTGATCCGCGATTGACGGTGATAACTGTAGCAATGGACGGAACAAACTATCTGACAAGCCAGAGCTGTGCTTCAAGTGATGCAGAGTATATTCAGAGAAACAAAACTACAGCAGCAACTGTAGTCTGTGTTGCCTTTAGCAGCTTCTACAGATAAAGATAACTTAAAGCTCACCTTTGATGTGTCCTTTTTAGGCAATGTTTGAAAAAATTAATTTCTAAATTAAATCTAAAAAAAATGCCAAAATATTTAATGCATTATTTAATTACTATACCATTAATAATTAACTTAATTAGTAGTTGAATAGTACTAGTTAGGTATTTACATAATTTACCATACTAGGCTGTTGGTGTCTGGGCCTATTTATTTATTTTTAAATGACATGAGACTTTGTGAGTTCCTGCACTTGTTATATTTCATAGTCATTTTATAATAAATCCAAAAGCAAGACATGAAAAAAACTAGGGAGTTGAAATGGCAATTGAGCTAACGGGTGATCCTCTGCTGCCATCTACTGGATATAATGGTAATTTCAATTTTAAGTCTTTGTTTTCCACCAGGAGACAATTTTTTCCCCCATCTTCTGAAAGTGAACATTTAAAGTGAATTTGTTTTGGCAGAGTTAAAAAAATAACAATAAAGGCTTTAAATTATGGGGGGGGGGGGGGGGGGGGGGGTGCTCGTCTTTGTCACCCCTGATTAGATTGCATCCCTGGGTACAGTGTCGTGCTGCCAGTGGGGAGCCCACGAATCAATATAAATAAATATAATTACATTTACTTAGTTGACATTATTTCTTTAGCTCTTCTACATTAAATTAGTTGAGTTAACATAATTAGTTGTCAACTAATAAAACTAGTAAAGCTGATAATAACATACCTCAGGTCAACAATGAACCAAGAGAGGCTGTCAGTTGTATCTTCTGCCATAAAGATGAAGATTGATGTTTTGTTAAAGAATAAGCACTTTGTTTAAAAAAATAAACAATTTATGTTCTATTATATGTGTTTTAACTACTATTTATATGTTGTATAAATATATATATATATATGTAACGAAGATATATTAACAAAATAATCTTTTAGAAGGGCCTCATCTATTAATTTTGCCTGGGGCACCCATCTTGGTTCGCCTCTGGTTAAATATAATCATTCACAAATCTGAAAATGAATATCCATTTTACACTGTATAATATAATAATGTAAAATCTTAAATTCACTTGTGGAGTTTATATATATATATATTTTCGTTTTTGTGTTTTACTTTTTATTTCTTTAAACAAAATAGTAAAATAAAAGCATAATATCAGCCATTTCTCAGTTATTGGCCATGGCATAAAAACGTATTGACCAGAATCTACTTCCCAGAACACAAGTATTTTCCAGGTACATATGAGTAATTTTAACCATATTTCCAAAAAATAAAAACAATATCCTGAGGTTGAAAACTCCATATTTCTCCATAAACTTTATATTCTGATTAGAAAGGTTGAAATTGCAACAGTAACCAAATCACGTTGATGGCATTTTCTCACTGAGTAAGCTGTTAGCTGGTATTTCTGATTAGCAGTTTTGCACTCAAAGCATTTCACTCCAACCCACATAATAACACAAACTTCCATTTAATGAGCATATTTTGCCAAAAATCATTCATGGAAATCAGTCCTCTGAAACACTCTGTAAGCTCGTCAACAGTAACTAGGATGGCTTAGCAAAGGCTTCATTGAGGTTCCTCCTGTGCATGAAAGCACACAGACCCACACTTACAGTGATGAGACAGGTTGCTCAAGCTGTCTGGTTTGGTGCTGGATGCTTGTGTAGGACTGTGCTCTGCTGTAGTATTAGAGGAGACGGCCAGTTCCTCTGGACTGGAGGTGAGGAGTGATGAGAGAGTGGTTTCAGCCATACTGTCAGACTGAGATGTCACTGCTGCAGGAGACTCTGGTGCCCGGCCAGCCCCTGTCTCCATGGTGAAATTGATGGGGGCAGTAGGTGTGATGCCAGTCTCATTTTGCACTGGCGGTACAATGATGGGAGAGAGGTTAGTCATGGGGAAATAAAAATAAGTTGCCAGTAGCCACTGACTTTCATAGTATGGAAAAAAACTATTATGGAAGTTAATGGCTACCAGCAACTCTGTCTTTACCAGCATTCTTCAAATATCTTCTTTGATGTTCAAAAAAACCTGCCTGGTCAGGACACGGCATTAGGTACAATGTGATGAGCTTACCGGGTACACACTGGCGTGTGTCAGGGCTGAGCTCCTCACCGTCAGGGCAAGCGCAGGTGTATTTGGGTGAGTGTTCACTGATCTGAGGAGCTCGCAGACACAGGAAGTCACAGCCTCCGTTAGTCACGCCGCTCAGGTTACAGCTGTCAGGAGCTACACACACACAATGATTAATCATCCATCAGTGGAAATGCGTTCTCATTCTGTAAGCCACATGGGCCACAAATGCACTTCATCTTCAGTCTGTGGAGCCTTAAACTATGATTAATATTTAACTGTAAGCTGTTGACACTTATTGGATTACAAAAGGAACAAATTTGATAGTGGATTTCATAAGGTGGATTAAAAACGTCAAAAGTCAAAATGTCAAAAAGGGACTTCAAATAAATAGAAATAGCTGAGTTGAAGTCCACACACCTGCAGGCTGGCTCAGCCCGTGGAAAACCACTATATCATGAGGGTCATTGAGGTGCTCGGCAAGACTGGTCACATCTTGTCCTGTGAGTCTGTTTGCGCTGTAGACAGCTTCCTTCTCACGGTCTGTCCAGTACACGCGATCCTAAGGAGACACACAACAATCAACACAAGATTTTCACATGTCCTTAAGAAAAGAAATCTGCTAGGTGGTTGCTAGGGTGTCTTAGGTGGTTTCTATGGTGTTGTTAGGGTGTTCTAGGTGGTTTTAGAGCATTTCTAGGTGGAACTGTGGCTAGGGTGTTCTTAGTTGGTTTCTAAGGTGTTGCTAAGGTGCTAGGGTGGATTCTAAGGCATTGCTAGTGTATTTTGTGTGGTTTTATGGCATTTCTAGATGATAGCTATAGGGTGCTGTGGGGGGTTGCTAGAGGATTGCTAGATGGGTTCTATACTATTATTGGAGGGTTTAGAGTGTTGTTCTGTGTTGTCGCTAAGGTGTCTTAGATGGTTTCCATGGTGTTACTAAGGTGTTCTGGGTTGTTTTATTGAATGGCTAGGTGGTTGCTAGGGTGTTGTAGGTGGCTGCTAAAGTGTTATTGGAAGGTTCAGAGCAGGCATGGGCAAACTCGGTCCTGGAGGGCCACTATCCTGCAGAGTTTAGCTCCAACACTGATAAAACTCACCTGCCTGTAGCCTTCTAGTAATCCTGAAGACATTGATTAGCTTGTTCAGGTGTGTTTGATCAGGGTTGGAGCTAAACTCTGCAGGACAATGGGCCTCCAGGACCGAGTTTGCCCATGCCTGATTTAGAGTGTTGCTGAGTGATTTCTAGGGTGTCCTGGGATGTTCTAGGTCAGGGGGGGCAACCACAGTCCTGCAGAGTTTTGCTCCAACCTTGATTAAAACTCACCTCCCTGTACCTTTCTAGTAACCCTTAGCCCTGGATTAGCTTGTTCAATTGTGTTTGATTTGGTTTGGAGCTGAACTCTGCAGGACTGTGGCTCTCCAGGACTGATGTTAGCCACCCCTGTTCTAGGTAGTTCCTTGATCAATGCTAGAAGATTTTTGTGGGGTTTAGAATGTAGGGTATCCTGTTTTGATTGCTATGGCGTTAAGGTGCTGTGGGTGGTTTTAGGGCATTTCTAGTTGATAGCTAGGGTGTTTTCAGTGGTTGCTGGAGAGATTTTAGGGTGTTGGTAAGTAGCTGATAGGGTGTCCTCGCTGGTTTCTAGTGCATTGCTAGGGTGTCCTGAGTGATTGTTAGAGTGTTCTTGGGGTTTTTAGAGTATTGCTATGGTATTCTGCACAGCTGCTAGGGTGTTGCTAGGCAGCAATGTTTACGACTGTAATTTATGTATTTAAGTACAACACAGCTCATTTCATTCTTTTAAATGGTCACAAAACGTCACATGTCAATCACATGTTAAGTGAGTGAGCAGCAAGCAAGCGGCACAGTGAAGTGTTCAGTGGTCAGTGTGGTTTCTAGGGCATTGCTAGGTGGTTGCTAACACATCCTAGGTGGTTTATACATTTTTGCTAAGGTGTTATAGGTGGTTTTAGAGCATTGCTAAATGGCTAGCAGGGAAAATCTGATTGCCTTAAAAGTTCTCCTCACTTCCAAACACATTGAAATATTATACTATAGCACAATGGTGGGGGACATATTTAGAATGCTAACATTTATTATTTCAGGTAATTAGTTTGTTGAAATATAGTGATGTAAACACACATACAATCAGAAAACATCACTCAGAAAATGAAGACAAACCAGGCAAAGCATCTCTTCATCTGCTTGCATCATAGATATTGAAGTTTGATTGAAACAATGGAAATCAATTTAATAAAGAGCATCCTGCGTAAAACAACAACTGCCTAGTCTCACACAAGCAATTAAGCTGCTAAGAAAAAGTTCCACATTAAAAAGTCCCACATTGTTTTCTGTAGAAGAAGCTCTGTTACTGGGGTGAAATCCACAGCAGGATTCTCTGTCCAGCAAGACCTTTAATTCTGCGGCTGATGTGTAGGTGTATAAGACTACAGCTCTTCAGCCTTCAGCCCTGCTCTGCTGTGAGAGGAAGTCAATCTAAGATTAGTGTGCTCACCACTACTTGAGCCGGGCTTGTGTGAAAATACTATAATCTTCTTTCTGCCTATCATAACTCTGCCCAGGACCCATCCCTACGTTACCATGGAGACCGCTGAGCTTAAGCAGCAAAACATTAAAGGGAATTGTCCCACATAAAATACAATACATCACTGAAGTAGGATTTTGAACATTAATAATTCTGAGCATGTTTCAGTTTTACATTTAAAGTATCTTCAGAGACATCTTCAATCAATTTCCACAGTCTTCCACAGCCCATAACAGCCACTCACCTAAACATGGCATTTCTATAGATGTTTTAATGATAGATAATATATATCACTCAGGGCAACTATATTGCTGATATCTGTCTATTTTGAGACCAATTGTACCCAATAAGCATGCCTGCTGATTAAATTAACAGTGGGTTAATGGACATCCTTGTTCATTTCATGTAATATATGTAATATGAATAGATTGATATATCATCACCAGTGTTCGAACTATACCGTGGTCTTTGGGGGAGCCCAAGTTTTTTTTCTTTTATAACTATGAAAAACAACTCCCACAGGGAGAGCTTGGCTTTTCCTGCTTCCTTACAGTAAGCCTCCCACAAATCTAACTGCCGTGCCAAGTGCTTTTCATCAGCATACGCACAGGTTTGTGCGCTTGCGCGTGCCTCAAAAAAGGGCTTACAATGACTTACACTTGTAACTTAGCTGTTATGTATCTTTGTATGCACTACTTGCTTTATGCAAGCACTATATAGGATAAATCACTATTCAGGATTTATCCTATTATACTTTATCGACACAAATTGCTAGGTGAAACAACAAACAGCCACCCACAAATAGTCGATAAACAAAGCATCAGGCTGTCTTTGAGCAACCGTTGAACAACGGTTAACGTAAAGTTTCTCGTCGTCAGGCTACAGAAGAATACCATAATTCATCCGTTCAGTTAGGCCTAAGACATCGAGAGTCACGCAGACCTATAACAACCCAGCCACAGCACATAATTGCGAATAACATGCCTTACCTTAACACAGAATCGACCACAGAGTCCAACGTTTATATTTTTTCTACGAATCTTTGAGTTAAAGTACTAAACATGAGTGGAATTTGCACCGCAGCGCCCTCACCTTGATGCTCATGACAAGAATAGCATGTATAGTTATCTTTATTGAAGTTAATTAGGTTTAAATCGCCGTCATGCTTGAATGAATGCTATATTTGCAATTTTACACATAATAATCCACGATGATCACATTACACAAACTGAAATTGCACGTCAAAATAACACAGTCAATATTTTTTGAGACCTCCCAAAATTTCACAAATCACGTTTTCAGGGGAGCCCATGTCTTATTAAGGGGAGCCGAGCTCCCCCTAGCTCCCCCGTAGTTCGCACCCTGATCATCATATTATTCAGTCCTTCTTACAGTTCCAAACTTCCAACATTTTTAAGTTACTAAATACACTAAATCGATCAAAAGTGACAGTAAGGGTGGACTTTTCAAGACGAATATTTCAAATAAATGTTATTCTTTTTGACCTTTATTAAACAAAGAATCTTGAAAAAAATATATATTACAGTTTAGACAAAAATATTAATCATCACAACTGTTTTCAACATTGATAAAAATAAGAAATGTTTCTTGAGCAGCAAATCAGCATATTAGAATGATTTCTGAAGGATCATGTGACACTGAAGACTGGAGTAATGATGCTGAAAATTCAGCTTTGATCACAAGAATACTGTAATAATATTTCACAATGTTTGGCTTAGTGAACAAGAGACTTTTAACAAAATCTTACTGACACCAAACTTTTGAATGGTAGTGTAAATCAGCACAATCCATTAGAAAGCTCAAAAACCAGTAAAATGGCATAAATCTCTCATTCATTAAATTAAATATCTGCATTATATCTGCTTTCCTGATATTGCCATTGGCTATTGAAAAATCAATATTTAAAAAAAATTCTAGTTGTTTTATGGTTAAAATTTGGCTCTGAGCATTACTAAAACTGTGATCTGATCTTGATATGCTTGATTTAGCTTTTGATTTATGAAGGGGAAAAAAATGTATCTGGACTATATCACAGTCCTGCAGCTTTGAAAATGCTGCTATATTAATAAATCATAAAGAGAAAATAAGAAAGGCTTTAATGCTAACTCGGCTGTAAGATACTGACCACACACACACGCGCACGCACACACACACACGCACACATTCATTTACATACTCTCCAGTCGGCCCTGCCTGTGTGTGAGCGATATGACCAGGGCTTCTCAGCAGTGTGAGTGGGAGTTATTATTAAGTGCTGGACAGCCTTGGGCAGTGGTTAAATTCACTGTAATGGATTGATAAATACACACAAACACAGACTAGCTGGTGTTAACCACATGCATATAAACACACACACACACACACACACACACAGTTTATAAAGAAATAGAAGAAACTGAGACACACAGGTATTTAGGAGACTCACTCACCTCGAACACAGCGAGGGCATACGGATGGCCGAGTCTCTCTCTGGAGGACAGGATGACTCTGCGATGGGCCCCGTTTAAATCCACGCTGCAGATCAGGTGCAGCTTTGAGTCCACCCAGTACAAGCGCTTACCAACCACATCTGCATTCAGAGACACAATGCTACTGTCAAACAATTACTGATTCATTTAGAGTGCATAAAGCTCAACCGTTTTAGACACAAGACATCTCAATAACATTCATCTTCCTCTTTCCATAGAGCACCAATAACAGAAGGGAATAACCATAACAGTACCTACCGAGTGTGATTCCATTGGGCCACTCAATGTCCTCAGACACCAACACCTGTCGATCGACACCGTTCATGCCAGCCTTCTCAATTCTGGCCCTGATGCCCCAGTCAGACCAATACATGAACCTGTGAAAACAAAGCATTCACCAATATATATATATATATA